TGAGATGCTGATTAAATTATGGAAAAGATTTTTCTTTATTACTGTGTTCTCTTCCCTCTCTTTATAAAGTGTACAAAAAGAGCAGAAGCACTATTAGCATGAATCAGCCAGCAGCTTTGGATGTGTAGTTCCCATAAGCTCAGAGAGAGTTTCAGGGAAATATATGTGAGGGGAAATTGGGAGCCTTTCCTAGATCTGGCAGCAAAAAATTCTGCAGTTTCATTGTCTTAATGACGATGACATCCTGGCCTCTCCCACCAGGTGTCACTGCGAAGTCACACAAGAGGATCTGTTGGTGATGATGCAAGACGCAGACAAAATGAAGATTAATAAGGCATAGGAGTCATCTCTGAAAAAGAGTCTTTTTTTTCCCCCCCTCCTCCTGGTTCCTAGCCAAAAAAGAAAAACAGCAACACCACTGTGCATTAAGCTCAACAAAGCAGAGTATCAGTTTTAAAGGATGACTGTGTAAAGCTCTTACTACTCAAGAGATTTAAATGTGTGTTGTGGGAGCTGGGGCTGGGGCTTGGCTGCCAGGCGTGGGGCCCTCTTGATGTCTGAGGATGAGGAGATATGTCCCAACCATGGTGTCAGAACAAAGTCTGGAATGGGGATTCTCAATTTGATATGATCTTGAGATTTAGAGACTTCCAAATTTAGAGACTGTCTCTGATCCCCTGATCCTCTGACAGTGACATGGGACAAGGGAGTAACTCACAAGCAATTGTTATTTCTTAACTCAGTTCTTACTTTTTAACTCACATGCTATTCTTACCAAAGTCCCTAATAACCACAGATACGTCCCACAGAACAAGCTGCAAAATTGTTCCTTCATTTTTCTAGTTTCTACTCTGGTATCTGAGGACACAGGCAGCAAACTCCTCATGTCACACTTTATGCATGGCATTGGAACATTTATCAGTGAAAATCCTTCCCTCCCCTGCCAGCAATGACAGAAGCACACACCACTGTGTCACGTCCTTGATTTCCAAGCATGCACCTAGAACACAGCACTAGATGCTATCCAGCTTTACCTGTGAGCACAGACTTGCTCAAAGGAGACCACACCAGGACTTTCTAGAAGTGCAGCCCAGAGGAGGTCCCTAAAGGGACCCTGACTTACCCTGCTGGGCTGCTCCTGGTCTGGCAGTGACATGCCAGTATGGAGGGAAGTCCTCCTGCCCCATTCCCCAGGATTCAGCATCACACAATCCCCAAATCAACAAATTTCCAAACTGCAACAGAGGGACACCTCAATCTTCTTTTGTCACTTCACAGAAACATGGAGGTGACCTCCATCAGAGTGTCTCGCTGCCACCCTTCCTCACAACAGCTGAACAGCCTTTCCAAGTGCTTGATAGCAAATTAGGACACTTTAATTACACCCTGACAGAATTAACTTCTGTGGAAGAGTGCTCTAAAAAAAGCATATAAATGAAATTAATTTTACTTGCAATTTACTTTTTAAATACACATTATTTTTAAGATATTACTACTTATATGCAGAACAAATAAATACTCTTATCTTATTGCTTTGGAAGTCCCTTTTGCTACACCACCACTTGCTTTAAAATAATCTGCAAGACTTATCGTTGCTAAAACATATTCTCAAACCAACAATGATCATACAGCAAACTGAAATAAAAATCACTCTTTGCTGCTGCTATGCATTTAAATGTGTAGCTGATTTCAGCAGCAGAACTTTAAACTCTGTTTTATAGGATATCACTCGATTTTAGTACAAGCATCTATCAGGCACAGCTCTGAAACTGTTAAGTCAGACTATGAAAACATTGTCAATGCTTATTTTAGTAATAAACCCCATGCTTAATCTATGCTTTCATGTTATAGTAATCTATGTATCAATCTATAAACTTCCAGCTAAATGCACTAAGTAGATTAAGCTCTGATTGATTTGAAATGTTTTTCACTATATTATCAAAAGTCTACAGATCAGCACAAATACCTCGAAGAAATTTTTTCTCCTTTGGCAGATTTACAAAAGCAGAGCTTAACTTGAATTGAAATGAACTTCTGCATTTTTCCAGGGCAAAAAGCCTGTCAAATTTACTCTAGATCTGCTGTGCTTCTGGACTTAGGAAGAACCTGTGATTAACAGTGCAGCATGTCTGTATTGTGTCGTGACAAGAGCCATGACATTGTGAAGGGAAGAGTCCCCCTGTGTCTGCCACACATGTGAGGTGCCAGGAGTCGCCCCAAAGGGTGGCACTGCTGGGCTGCCATCCGCAGAGCTCACCGAGCAAACAGCAGTCAGAGAGGAGAGCGGGGGATTGCTCTTGGTGTGCTCTTGCTACGTAGATAAAAGTCGTTAAAAGTCATCTTCCTCAAATAGAAAACATCGAGTTTTACTTTCTGAGCTGCATTTTGGGGAAGTGAGAAGCAGGTTGTGAGATGTGACAGAAACCCAGCGGGCGCTGCGAGGAGGCTCTGCTGTCGCTGCCAAGGGTCACAGAACTTCAGCAGCAAAAAGAGCATGGGAGTGAAGAGGAGTGTGCTGAACTCTCTGTGATCCCCATTCTCACAGCTCTTCTTGCAGACTATCTGCTGGAGCTGGCTGCACAGATGGAGGGAGATTTCTGCATATGCTCAGCACTCATCCTGGTAGAGCGCTGAGATGCAGCAGTGCAAACAAACACGGGGCTGAGTGACCCACCCAGGGAAGGCACGGTACAAACAACAGCAGCAATGAGTGAAGAGCAGAAATAGTCTTGAGGTGGTACAGTTCAGTCTTTGCCAAGTTTTCAAGCATTTCCAGTCAGGTAAGTTCAGGTTTAAAATGTTGTCCAAGTTTATCCCACGGAAGAGGTGGCATCCAAGAAAAGGAAAGACTTTGGAAAAACAAAGGTGATAGCGTGTTGGCAGAGTATCCCAGGTTAAAGCTCACTGGCAACCGTAGCTGGATTCTCTTGGACCCCACTGGGGAAGTGTTTCTCATTTCTCAATTGTCCTTATCCATTTATCCCTATGGAATATCCAACTTCCTCTGGATCCTGCTCCATCCATCCATGCATGCAGACAGCTGCTGTCTGAACACTGCAGACCCAATGACACCATGGCCCCACAGCTTGTTCAAGTACCTGGCACAAGTCCTCGGTCCTGACACCAGCCCCAGGTTCACCTCCATGAGGATTGCACAGGTAATGACAAGAGAAGGAGCTCAGCTCACACAGTTCATCTCTGGATTTGATTTTGGATTCCCATTAGTTGGGAACGTTTAAATCAGGTTTTCCTCTGGAACCTTCTCCACCTTGCTTGTGAAAGAAGAGAGTTATTTAGTTCAATATAAACTGTATTAGGACACAAAGTGGCATTTCCAAATCCTAATTTCTTTCAAACACACTCCCAGTGAACAGCAGGTTCAGTGGTCCTGATCTGCCTCGTGCCTCACAGGTTACAGAACCTGGCTTGGGATAACCAGACTGGTATCGATCACACATTCATACCTTACCCTAGCACATTAACATAAAGTTAACAAGCAAATTCATTCCAGAGGGCAAACCTGAAAGTCAATGTCAGCCAAGAAATTGCTTGAGCAATCCTGTAATTGAATAAAAATATGTGTCAGCAAAACAAGTGTCATCCTGGGCTTGCTGGTGCGCTCTGAGTTCACGGGCTTGACAAACTCCTCTCAGCGTGGTGCTGTGTGAGACACTCTGCAAGGAGACCTGATGTACTAAATGATGTTTATCAGCCAAATTTGGGTACTAGTAGGCACATTTGACCTGCAGAGTCAAAGAGCCTGCCCACAACTTCACCAGCAAATTAACAGATAAAGTGAAAGAAAATTAGCATTTTGTAACTTCTTAGCCACTTCTCTGGTTGCAAAGTGCTTTCGCAGCACAGGGAGGACATTTACTCACAAATACGCTGTATTACAGTAGAAACATGTCTTTAAATATAAAAAATAGTAAACCCCCGAGTATCAGATTTTTCCATGTATGTGTTTGATGAGTTTGTACACTGATTTATGGGATCAGCATCTTTGGGAGGGCCAAACAAACTCATTTATTTTAATTCCTTCATTTCTGAGTCCAAGGGCCCCGTCTAGCTGTGATACAGACCAATTTAAGAGTAGTGATTCCTGTTTTTACACCAATTAACCGTTAATGGCATTTTGTAATCTATTCTGTTCTATTAAGCCTCAAGAAAACTGGGAGCAGCCAACAGAACACAGTTGATAGATGTATCTGGAAACTTTCTCTCTGTAGAGATAAGAAAACCTTGGGACTATGCTGGGACCTGTAGGAGAAAGTGTGACTTTAGAGGGAAGCTGTGTCACAGGAAAGAGACACTGCCAGGTCCAAAAGCCAGGATCCTTGTGAGAAGGAACTGCTGGCAGCAACAGAGAGAGGATCCTCTCCTAAGCTAATGAGCAGTTGAGATCACTTTTCAAGCAGCTGCTCACAGACACCGAAATGGGCATTTGCCAGCTGAAAGGATCAAAGAAAAGCAGTGCTCCAGAGATGACCCTTCACCCTGTCAGGCCCATTTTCAAGGGAAAGAAGCCAATTACTGGGGTCTGCTTTGAGAAATTCTTTTAGATGGCAAGGCCCAGCTTCCAAGGCCCACCTAGTTCTGTGGAAAACAGCTAATCAAGTAAAATTGTTTCCTCGCTTTTTCCTTTAAGATAGAACCCCTTTCCCTCCCCATTTCAGTCCTTTTTCGTGATTTGAAAACTGGCACATCCATGAGTGATTGCAGGTGCCATTAAATAATGAAGCAGTTCTGTTCATTAAAGCCCAGTGATTTATTACCTTTGGACTAAGGGAAAGAAAACAGCCTGAAAAGAGAATTCTTACATCATTTCACATTATTTCTAGTCCAGCACATCAGACAACTGTTAGAATAGCAGGTTTTCAGCTCCATGGTCCACCAGTGCCCAGAAATTCAATCCTGGATGTCTAATTCCAACAAGGTCTGTAATTCTAGACTGTAACTTAAACTCATGACTAACTGCTGGCCTAAATGTTGTGTCCTACCTTCATAGAGCCAGTCGCTGAGCCCATTGAAAATAACACCTTCCTTTCCTGTGGAGACCACTCGGATGGCTTGTTTCCCCACATGGGCACAGTAATAGATGTTATTCTCAAAGATAAATATCTGATTTGAAGGAAATAAAAAAAAAAGAAAAAGAGAACAGCATTAAGCAGCGGCTCCAGAATAAAATGTTGCATTTTGCTTTTACAATAATTGGCAGTACAGAATCACATATCACAGTTTTATGGCATCTTTTGTCAGAAAAGGGATTTCCACAGCTTGCCTCCAATGCTGTCAGCTAATACAAAGATGCTAATTTACAAAAAACTGAAGCCTTGGTGCTTTGATATGAGCTTTATTTCTCTCACTTCTGTCTTCATTTCAGAAAATGGACAGTTCAGTTAGAGGGCATGAGATGAAGAATGCCATTGCTCAGATTTTGAGAGTTGTTAGAGCTATTGCTGTGAAATGCTCCTGTGAATCAAACTCTTTATTTATTTATGTTTAAATGCTGATCAGGAAGTAAAGCTTTAGCCAGCCAATAATAAAAATATTGTTCTATGGCAACAGTCCTTATCACTTGGTTAAATTGTTCTGTGTTCCTCTGTCAGATATAGCACAATTCCTGTCCCCTCACCCCAAAGTGAAGCACATCTTGCTCTAAGCAGAGTCACAGAATCACAGAACCACTTGGTTCTAAAACACTCTTAAAGTCTTTAAGGTCCCTTCCAACCCAAACCATTAACCCAGCACTGCCAAGCGCATCCCTAAAGCACATCCCCATCTTTTAAATACCTCCAGAGATGGTGATTCCACCACTGCCACAGACAGCCTGTTCCCATGCTGGACAGCCCTTTCTGTGGGGAAATTGCTCTTAGAATCCAACCTAAACCTCCCTGGCACAACTTGAGGCCATTTCCTCTTGTCCTACCATTTGCTCCTTGGGAAAAGAGACCGGTCCCCCCTTGCCACAGCCTAAGTGTAATTGTGGTAATCAGGTAATTGTGGAGTGATGAGGCTCCCCCTGAGCCTCCTTTTCTCCAGGCTAAACAATCCCAGCTCCCCCAGCCACTCCTCATAAGATTGGAGCTCCAGACCCTTCCCCAGCTCCACTGCCCTTCTCTGGACATGATCCCAAAGTCTTTCTTGTTGTGAGGGAACTGAACACAGGATTGGAGCTGCAGCCTCGCCAGTGCCCAGTACAGGGGGACAATCACTGCCCTGGTCCTGCTGGCCACACCATTTGTGACACAGGCCAGGATGCCTTTGGCTTACTTGGCCACCTGGGCACACCTGGCTCATGTTCAGGTGCTGTTGACCAGCACCCCCAGGTCCCTTCCTGCAGGGCCACTTTCCAGCCCCTCTGCCCCAGCCTGAAGCACTGCCTGGGGTTGTTGTGACCCAAATGCAGGACCCAGCACTTGGCCCTGCTGAACCTCACACCACTGCCTCCTTTTGTAGGCAGGCATCACATTTTCTGACCTCTGGCCAGCTGGACCCTTCCCAGTTAGCCAGGACCGCTGGTAAATGATGGGAAGTGGCTCAGTGAGCACTTCTGCCAGCTGCCACAGAACCCTTGGATGGATCCTCTGCATCTTGGACACTTGTGTGTGTCTAAGAGGTGTGGCAGGTCACTGACCCTTTCACCTCATGGGAGCTTTATTCTGCTCCCCAGCCCCTTCTTTAATATATTTTTAAACTCTATTCAAACTGAAAAGATGGACTGAATAGGGTATCAGTAAGCTATTTAGACTGAAATGCAAACTGTTAGTATAATTTAGTAGACATTTATAGATGGGTTTCTATACACTTGAAGATATTGGAATAAATGTTATGTATCTTTAACACAATACTAGAAAGCAATTTCTCACATTATGAAAAGACAGAATTGGGAAAAATATTTGCTTTCATCTTGTGTTTCACATCCTATTATGGTATATGTTTCACCCAAAGATGAGCTGGAAGGATTCCAGAAGAAAGTATAGATCTTAATTTAATTTTGGCAGGTGTTATAACAGGTTTGCCTAAAGGTAAAAATTATTACTGAAATTGTAGCTTACTCTTCTTCCTTTTGAGCTAGGAAGAGCTGAATTCAATGAATAGTTTTGGAAAGTAAAAAATACATTGTGGAAGATATTACATTCTCTTTCCTACCTTGAATTTTAGTAAGCAGAGCAGCCAGATGAGGGATTGCAAGTAAAGAATTTTATGTATTAGCTAATCTGCATATGGGGAGGTTGTTGAAGTTTAAATGTGCATAAAAATAGTGAAGACTAAGCAGAATAAGATACTCAGGGTCCAAATAAATCCAATTCTCTGTGTCTGAGTACTAAATGTGCTAAGGGGTGCTTGGGTAAGAGCTCTTCTGTGACAGGCACACAATCAAATTTATTTATTCAAGTGATGCAACCTTTCCCTTGCCCAGATTCTTCCAGCAAAATAAGATTTGCAATATTTTGTCCTATATTAATGTTTTATGAGCTTACAGGAAAAATAAAGAAGGTGGATTGACAACCTGTTCCCGCCCTTCCCCTTTTAAAGTATTGCAATGTTTCCATCTTCACTGTTTGGTCTTTCAAAGCTTCATTGCACTCATCAGGCTGTGTGAGGTATCTGGGAGCTGCAGTGGAAAAATAATATAGTGCTCTGACTTCAAACTGTATCCCATATAATTCAGAGCCAAACTGCAGCACCTCATGGAGGTTTAAAAATTATCCTCCTCTGTAACCATTTTTACTGTTTTGGTTTCATGGCATTAAAGAAGTGCTTTCTATCAAATGATCAATCCTGTCAGCTAATTAGAGGATAAGAAATTTTAGTAAAGAAAAAATAGTAAAAATATGTACAGACATGACTTTTACATTACGTTATGCCAGCTTTGCATAACACTCCTAGACAAATTTAAAACGATGACAGAAGGGATCAAGCTCAGTTTTATGCTCCTAGACAAATTTAAAACGATGACAGAAGGGATCAAGCTCAGTTTTATGCCTCTCTGTACAGGAGATAAAGAGCAGAGCTCAAATTTCTGGTGTTTTCTCTTTTGGTGTGCATATTTGAGCAAGACTTCAACCCAGACATTCTTGCAATATATGTTCCTTAAAATTCAACAGTGAACACAACTACTGGCATGGCAAACCAAGCTGTGCTAAGTCAGGAAAATCCCTGTGTTGAACATCATGTCCCTTTTCATCATGACATTCAATGGAGAGGAAAGAGAAGATATTCTGGAAGAAGTAAGAAGAATGGAAACATCCCTACATAGACTGAAGAAACAGAAATTGCTAACTCTACAGAAAAAACAAGGAAGACAGAAGTTCTACGAGATAACAGAATAAAAAGAAAAATGTATTTTCACCATTTTATTTCTCAAAAACAACAGGAAAACCAATGAAATATAGAATATTTTTTCTAATGAAATCAGAATTAACATAAGGAACTTCTTTCCACTGGATCTAGCAGAAGACCTCTCTTTCTGCTGGATGCTTTAACAGATGCCCAAAAGATTAAACACTTAACAAAAATAACTGGAACATCTGAGGGGATTAAGATAAAGTTTGGGGTTTTTCAAATGCATTCACTTAATCCCAGGATAATAAAAATCAATGGAGATTTTGCTGTTGGCTTTATGTGGCTCAGGATGTAACTTTCAGCTATAACCCCTTCAGTCTCAGGTATCAGCACACCACTAACTCCTGTGGTCTGGGAAGAAATCTCTGCCCGTTTGCAACTGGTGTTAGAACCCATTACCCCAAACCATTTGTCATCCTTGCCCAACACAACTAAAACTGGAGAAAAAAATATGAGGCAGATTGGACCACAAGCCCAAGACAGGAAGAAAAGTCAAAGCTTATGTGTCCAGTAAGATAAATTTATACAGCAGGGTAAATATTTGAACTATCAACAAATTAAACTTAATTCACTTCAAACATACAAAAGCCCTAATGACACTGATTGATTCAAGGATTTATTTAAAATGCTTTTGCAACTGCTTAAGGACTTCTAAAATAATACTCTCTACCAAACTGACCCAGAGTGGTAGTCAGCAATTATGCTGCATTAATTAAAATATTGATACTTTTAAATGGATTAATTTGTGGATATTTTCAGAAATATAATGAAAATAGTATCCTTAAGACTTAAAATGTCACAGTGACCAACTATTTTGAGTAGGTGAACACTACACATACCTTTACAGTTGTTCAACCCACCTTTCTTCAAGCCAAAGAGGAGTGTGAAATTTCTACTTCTCCATAGATCAAAAGAAAATAAATTCATACACACTAATCTGCATTTTTACTGCTCCTATTTATTTTCCAGCTGTAAGGTGGCATTCTAAGTTTATGTTCTCTTTACCCCACAATTTCTAATGTATAACTTGTCAACAGAATGAGCTGCATCACTCAAAATTCTCATAAACTTAATGCCTGGATGCTTATTACTTTAAGTTATTAGCACATGGAGAGGTGTAAATGTTTCCCACAGGTAAAAAAAAACACCTTTCCACACTGCAAGGCGAGCCCCCGGATTTATCTGTGAGACAGACAGATACCATGGACAGGTTGGCACCTTGCCATGGAGAGTTTGATCAACAAGAGCTGGCTGGCCTTCAGGTACAGACAGGCACAAAGCCTTTCCTTGGCTTTCCTCGTGTGCTGGCTTTGGCTGGGGCAGAGTTAATTTCCTTCCCAGTGGCTGGTACAGGGCTGTGTTTTGGATTTGTGCTGAGCACAGCGTTGATAACACAGAGATATTTTTGTCATTGCTGAGCAGGGCTTACTCAGAATTTTCTGCTTTTTGTGCTGCCACGCTGTCAGGAGTCTGGGGGTGCCTGGGAAGATGGGAGGAGGCACAGCCAGGACAGATGACCCAGAGTGACCCAAGGATCATCCCAGACCATATGGCATCATGGTCAGTACATAAAGTGGGGGAAGAAGAGGGACGAGGGGAACTTTTGGAGCAATGGTGCTTGTCTTCCCAAGTCACTGATACTCCTGGAGATGGCTGAACACCCGCCCAGGCACAGGAAACAGGGAATTAATTCATTTTTGTGCTTTGCCTGTGCGCACAGCTTTCGCTTTCCCTATTAAACTGTCTTTATCTCCACCCACGAGTGCTCTGGG